TTGATGATCTTGTTTTTTTTTCTTCATAATTTATAATTGCGAACTTGGACGCAGGCGGACTAAGACAGAAATTTGATATTGTTTTCTGCAATTTAAAATTTTTCTGCAAATATTGGCCGTTATTGTCAACGAAAAAAAGTAAACATCAGTTTCAATAGCAAAAGAACATAAAAAGTAAAAAAAAAAACCCTTATTGGTTGTATATGTATTGTCAATGGACACGTTGAGGTTATGAAAACCGTAACACATAATTTGAAGTACAACACTACAATCATGGATTAAAAACATGATTAATGAAATGCTTGATTTTGTTTATGTCCTAATGCTCAAATATGGAATAATAAAACGTCCCGTTTTATGTTAATATGGTAACTTTATAATTGTAAATGTTAAACAACGTTTTTGCTTATTAGAAACGTGATTTGAATTTTATTGCCAGAAATATTGATATCCAAGTAATTGATATCGATTAAAATTAGTATTTAGTATTAAGTATTTCGAGAAACAACCAACACAGGAAAAGTTTCTAAGCAAATTCTATGTTATTCTAAAATAGATATACATGTAAGTTTGACGGCTTTTTAAATTAAGATTCTGATCTGTCAAACATACATCTTTGAAATTCTATATTTATAAATGCATGCATTTACTTTAACAGTCATCGAATGTGATCTGATTCTCGTATGACATTTTCGAGCGTTTTACTTTTAGATGAGAAGAGATTTAACATAACCGGAAATGTCACATCCTTCAACATTGCAAATACTATCGTGTTCAAAGACCTAATGATCATCTCTATCAATAAAGTGCGCACCGTATTTATCATTAGGCTGTGTAACTTTAACGGCTTAGAGCCATTTACAAGATCTGACCGAGTTTTCACATGCATCAATTTTAGAAAGGACCAAAAACATATTTCAAGATATTGCTGCATGTTGTTCGATAGTTCGATTTTTCTTTCTTGTTATATTTTTAAATGGTTCTTTATCTAGACATGAGACAAGTTTGAAACCCAGTACAACACATTTTGCGAAAAATTAAATAATAGTTATACTCGTTCGATTTTGCAAATATGTGATGTATTATAATTGGTTTTGAAACACGTAATTATACTTAAGTTTTGTTTCTTCTTATAAGTTTTCATTTACATATTTTGGAAAGCAATTACGCAAAATGTCACAGCATATAAATGTCCTAATAACACCAAGTTAATAAATTAAGTTATCGTCTTTGCTAATGGTGAAGGTTGAATTTATTTACTAAGGTTTCAAACGTACTCACAATACATTCAAACGTTATATGGAAGTGAACGCAATTTAAAGGATAAATATTGTGCACTGGTCATGCTGGTGAAATTCGTTCAAGACAAGACAGTATTTTACAATTCGTATTGAATTGTTTGCAGTTTATCTTTGTTCCATTCTGCATTTTGTAAAATGTTGAAAAAAATTGTAAATTTTTATAGCTATTCTATGCACGTAAGATGGCTATTATGTCAACTCCAGGTTTTTGTTTGGTGTCGTCTGGGTGCCCTACTTGGTTGTGTCGGGGACTGCGTCCTGTGAACGCTGCCTTTATCTTGTTGACCTTTATTCTTGTTTTATACGAGGGTTGTTCAAAAAGTAATAGGACTGCAGCTCTACTGTTCACATTTTTTCATCTACGTACACGATTTTACAAAAATCAAATATCGGAACTTGTCCTCTATATACAGTGAAAAAATCAATATAATATGTTTAAAAACAACAATTCTGTACAACTTACAAATGACAAGGGGTACGCGACCCGGCGCACGCTAAAAGTTAAATAAATGACGTTCATGACGTCGCAAAATAAATTCAAAATGTAAACAGCGTCATTCTTTCTGAAATTATTCTCCACAATGTTCTAGGTGCTTGAATCATGTAACTATAACCAGAAATCATCTGTGGAGATGTAGCGAAAAAAAGCAATCACATTTTCATTTCTTTATCCGAAACATGCCCTGTTGCCGGCAACTTTCGGTTTTATCTTGTGATTTTGAGTATTCTGGAAGCTAAACGGGCATGGACATATAATGTAAATGACAAAGTGATTTATATCATTTATTTACACATGCCATCTTACATTCTTAAAACAATATGATTATGTACAGTAAATTAAAAATGCTTATTAATTGAAAAATATTCTCTTCTTCTGAGCAATGGCTATCATTTATTAAACGAAATCGAGAAAAATTGATACCAATAATTACCGCGTATCATTATTAAATATTCAATGATAACGCACACACACATATATATCTAATAAAATAAAATAGTGTTTAAAACAAATTTCCCCTATTCAATAATTTTCTTAGAACTGAAACAGTAGACCTGATGCAAACATCAAACATGCCGGACAGTATATCGCCGATACTTTTGTAGCGCTATTGCAATTTACGTCTCTAACGTCCGTCAATTTCCCGCTTTCTCCCTAGCCCTTTCGTGTCTGTGATCTCATATTCACCGTCTTTGAACTGCCTTCCCCAGCTGAAAACGAGTGTCCAAATTGCCTAATTATTGTTCTGTGACAATTTAATCTTTTCATACGTAGCTGAAGGAGTAGGGCCTATCTGTTGGCAAAATTTAATGATCGTACACATTTTAAGTTTTTCAACGAACGTCATTTTTCTTCATTTAACGCTATTATCACTGCTGTTCAAAACGTTATAGTTTAGCGATATTTCTTGTCTGAATGACGTCAAATTTGGACAACATGACACTTTAATATGATAAAATGTGTTGGTGAAATATTTGGGGGAAAAGACAACATATTATGAATAAACTGAAAGTACAAATTAGCGTCAAAATATTTTTGATGCACTGCGCCGGGTGCGTGTTACCATGGTTATTTAATTTCACAGGGAACACGCGTTTAGCGCAATAATTCAATAAACTTATGCTGAAGTTGTAGAAAACAATTAACTATTGCCGTGGATATGAAAATATTTAAAATCTAATGGAATATGGAGACATAAGACTCTTAGTCCTATTACTTTTTGAACAACCCTCGTACGTATCGAGTAAATAAGAAAAGTATGTTTTCGTGAAAAGATGTTTATTGATTTGGAAGCAATTTAAATTCCAGTCGAAATTTCGTTTTAAGTGCAATTTTAATGGGTTCTCTTGTTGAAAGTGTAAGATAATAATCGCCTTGAGATTAACTTATTTGTTTTTTTTTTGTTTTTGGGTTGCATTTAACGGACTTAGTGATTATGTCTGGGTTTAAGGAAGCTTTTAATTTAATCACTTTTTAATTTAAATTATTGAGTTATAAAGCTTTGAATGATATGGTAGTCAAAATCATTGTATGAATATCCAATTTGAGATTTTATACATTATGATGTCAATATCCAAACTAATACAAAACCAAAACAACCTCAGCTTTTAAAAAAACGATGACTAGAGTAAGAAGTGTTACATGTAATATGAGAAATACGCTAGAGGCTTTTTCATTTATAATACTTTACTTCAAATTCATAATTATCATCTAGGGATATTTGATAAGATATTATCTCTTATGTTTTTTCTCTGAAAATAAGTAATATCCGCCGAATGTCCTAAAGCATTTTTAATCATATCGTCTCATTTTTAACGTTTACAAAATATAAACTCTCAAAACACGAAAACAACGTTTAATTCATAGCTCTTAAAAGTGCTTTAATTGTATATAAGAAACAAATATCATAATGCAATGCTGATTACATTTATGTTTTGATTACAAACAATTTTGTTTTATAGCAATGTTTTATAACAACGTATATAGAATATACATGTATAATAATTTATTACTGGAAAGGAATTATTATAGTAAATGTAACAATTGTTATTTTGATATGTATGTATATTAACTGGATATTGTGTCTGTTACAAAAAAACATGTGTTTATTTTACAATACTACTTACCTTTTCCCTGCCAGGTACAACTAATTTTTTGTAAACTTACCGGTATTTCAGTGAAAATTTTCACTGATTCTAACAGACATCTGAAATGAAATGTATTTAAATCTTTTACTTTAATACATAAATACATTTCTCGTTTCTGCAATGTTATGTATAGCCGTTCACAAAATGTTCTAGATAGTTAAATAATTCTGATATCAATATTCTGATATATAAGAAAATGTATATTATGCACCATCAGTTAAATCTTGCAATGTTGCTTTCCATCATCAAATATATACATTTATTTCAAAATAAATTATAACTTACATATTTGATTACGTGCACTTAAACATGTTTTTCATAATTATGTTGATAAACCATAAGAAAACAATTTATCATATGTCAATAATAAATACAGATAAATTATGTTATGTAGACGAGATGCCATAATGCATGTAATATTTCTGTAATTCTTCGGTTTTGCAAAAGTTAAGTTATGTTTTATAATGGTACAAATATTAAATACAGACATATTTATATTGTGCATTGTTTCCTTACTTTTGCAAAATCCGTTGCAGACTTAAATTATTAAACCTTCAAAGTTTGTAGCATTAACCTTTACTTTGTACCGAGATAATTTGAAGTCTGTTTTATAGAAGGTACTGTTGATTAAGGGTTATGCTACATTAATTGACATTTTATGGAGATCTGCCATTAGCTGCTTCTACAATGACATAAATTCCATTAATTTAAACGGTCAAAAATTATGTCGAAAGAAAACTAAAAAAGATCATTGAAAATGTCAAGAAGCTTTATAATTTCGGTCATAAGCTAGGGTAATAATAAAAAACGACACCAAAAATGTTTGTTAAAGTTCAAACGTTTTAGAATACCGTAACGAATGAACCAAATTTTAATGCTATACCTTCTTTTCATAATGGAAAATTGTAAGACTTCTTCAAAGTATGAATGTGTATTTCTTTTGTTTTTTTAATACTTGCTAGATAAATAAACATTGGTAAATATCCTATACGCGTCTCCACCATGTCTTTATTTCTGTCAGACATCATATCAATAAACACTCGCTACGTTACCTTTCGATGTCTAATGCGGCAACATTCACAAAATGTATTTGTGTTCTATTGGATATAAATTTTCTAGGTTTTTTGCTACCACAAAGAAAGCCTTTAGCAGAACGGTGGAATTTTACACAGGCGACGAAAGTCATTCCTATACCGCTGAGTGAATGACATGATTGGATTATTTATTTTACAAGTAAATGCTGTCGCTTAAAATGTGGCAGTAATTTGGAATAAAGTGTGATTGTTAACTTCAATATTATATTACTTTGGATATAACGAAAATGATGCTTGAAATAATTGTTAAATATATCGAAAGTACATAAAAATATTTCTTGAATGCTGTGTGAGATTAAAAAATATTATCGTTTGTTAAAATTTTGCTAGGGTATATTAATCATAATTCCAAGAATTAATAGGCAAACACATACACATGGATATAAAATATTTTGAAATACATCTAAATAAAATGAAATTAAAATTTATGAAAATAACATTTATTCAACAAATAAAAGCTACAAAATACTTTCATATAGCCACTTTTTTAATTGTTTTTATTTATATACATGAACCTCAAATAAATTCCTTTAACTTAACTCAATTAATTATTTAAATAATTGCATACTCTAACTGTATTGATTCATTGACATTTATCAGATTTAAATAAATCGAAAACAGATACCTATCTCAAAGCCAACAATTAATGAGCATTTTATTGTAATGTATCAATTTGAAAGGTACATTTACAAACGTTTGTTCAATACACACTCTCGGATGTTTAGGCGATGCTTATTATTATACCAAAGTATCTATTAAAATTGAATGCATTCGCAATGGCATCGAAAGGAATTAAATACATATTTACGTACGTGTTCCTCTTGATAATTTGTGATTGTGTATTCGGAGATGCCAAAAAAGGCCGCATTGTAATTGCTGGATTATTTCCATTATCTGGAGTACCCGAAGGTGTCATTGGACGTGGTGTTACACCAGCTGTTGAATTAGCTGTTGATATGGTCAACAACAGACATGATCTATTACCTGATCACAACCTTCAAATTGTCCCAAGTGATACCAAGGTAAACTTAAGAAATATTGTTACGAACTTAGTAGAATTTCAAAGATACTTAATTAGTATTATGTGTCATATAAGTTATTGTTTTGTTCGTTTTCAAAGAAAATAAGCTACTTATTTGAAACATAGTTTTAGATAACATCTGCCAAATTTAATTGGTCATGCTTCTTGATATGTTTTTTTTTCAAGATTTTTTTCTACATTTTTGATATTTTGGTAATTCAAATGAAAGGTTTTTGTCTTCTTCAAATGTTGGATATCATCTCAAATAATCGGACAAAGTTTTAAAATGGGTTTAAATTAATAAATGTAGTTTTACTTACGTAAATTATTTTCATCAAGATAAGGACATACTAGGTTTCCTCAAATTAAGTTTTTTTTATCTCTTATAATCGTTAGAAAATTATTCTTTTAAAGGAAGTCCGTAAGTTTTTATCAAGATGGTATTAAGTACTTCAGCAACTATGAAATGTAAGTAAATTAGTCGGATAATTTACATAGTTCCATTAGATTCTATTAAATCCTGGTTTAACGATATACCGTATCATATCATTAGTACCCAATTGAGGATTCAAATTTCACTTAAAATGATTATCAAAATCATCCGTTTCAGATTTTATATGTCTAGGAGATTTATTTTAACGTAATGGAAGATAAATTGTCTTGGTGTTTGCCTTATAATTTCAAGTTTCAATTTTGAAATTCTGTGTGCAGATATTTTCTCTGGTGCAGTAAACTGTCTTAGTTTAAACATAGATTCGTTAAAACTGTAAAAAAAATTTGAGATTGTTTTCCATATTTTTATCATTTTGTTATCATTTTATCGATTTCCAAAAACATTCATATAGATTTTCTTTTCCGCGGATCCTCGCCAACAGTTGAAGATGGTTAATATATGCACGTTACTTATTTTGTATAACTTATTAACACATTTTTTTAAAAATACAATTTTGAATCAAATTTTGTTAACAAAATGACATCGTTTCTACATTCTTTATAAAACTTAGAAGGCTTGAATTTTCAGTATAGGAGTACTATGTCAACAAACTTTTCATTTCATTTTCATTTTACCTCCCCGTGCACTTATTCGTTCTACGACGCATAAAAATAGTAACTTGCGATTCCTTCCTGCTAATTTGAATCACTTATTGGCAAATTTGTTTCACTGACTTTCTTCCTTACACAGACCTCTTGGGAGAATTTTTGGTGTAAACTATACCTTAGATCTTTATGCTGTTAAAGACTTTTAAGACAGCTTTCTTATCTACAAAAAGGTCAACGACTCACATTCATTTTATACCCTTTATGAACATACAATATATCCTGCATCAGATGGTTAAGCATGTCTAATTGTCTGTTGATATAAACACTGTTGTTTTTTAGCTGTTTCCTCGTTCAAATCATTGCCGTAATAGAACAGACCCCTGTTAAGTAATCTGTAAAAAGAAGTTTGAGTAATATTATTTGTATCAATAAGTTATATATTTTTGTTTTTAAGAGTTAACAATAAAAGCTATCATTAAGTGTTATGTTGTTATCTATGTAATAACATGTTTGATAGATTTCGAGACATTTTTAATCTTTAAAGGATTATTAATTGAGGATTTTAGTGTCTTAATTAATTGTTAGTGTGCCATCAATCAATCAATATACTACAATTTTTAACGATTTTAAGTAAAAAACATCGGTTTATACTTAAATAAAACTGTAATAAAAAAGGGCCGAAACGTCTCGCGGAAAAGGGCCAAAACGTCTAGGGGCCGATTTTTGCAAAGGGGCCGATTTGGTTTGGGGCCGAAACGTCCTGTTTGCGTTTGATATGATAGCATACGCGGTTCGTTTTTACCCAAACTTGTAATAAATAAAAGCACGGTGAATGATCTGCATAAGATAACATTCAAGTGTAGAAAACATTTAACATGTTACAAGAAAATTATGTTTCAGTATTCAGCAAATTAAATTAAATGATTCCAATTTCATATAATAAACATTACTATAGGAATGTTTTTACAACTACAACCAATTACACTCAATATGAGAGCAGTTAGATAATTAGTGATTCTTATTTAGTATAATAAGTGTAATTATTTATGTTAATTGTAGTACAAAATGTACAAACTGGTCTCCATTGTGTTTACGTCAATACAAAAATGTGACTAAAGTTCTTATTTATGCCCTATGAACTTTTACATTTTACTATGAGGTGTTTGTTTTTTAACATAATTATACTCTCTTACTTTTCTTACAACATCATTTCATAGGCTATTGTTTTAATGTCAGTACATTCATGCAGGTCGGACGTTGTTCACGCAGAAAAATATATAATGTTTAGTTACCTTGACACATGACATGTTTAGTGTTTCAATTATTAAACATAGCTGGTTTATACAGAATTTATTTTAGTTCGATTGTATAGGAAGCTATAAGCTGATAGACACACTTTCGAATCCGTTCCTTGAACCGAAATGCTCCTGGAATAGCATCATTACTAGCTAATATTGATGTTGGTATTTCGATCATGTTCAAAATTTATAACCTTGCTAATGTCAAAAACCAATATTTGAAAATTATATGATTTTTCGTTCTACAGATTAGCGCAAAAAATATGCATACCTAAGATATAAATATATACTTGTGTAACGCATATTGTGTTTATCTAGAAATTTACTTTTTCTTTTTTCATAAGTAAGCATATGGTACAAAATAATTCTAAACAGACAAATTGAATGATCATGAAATGATCCAAATTTACAATCATGGTCAATTGTTTTAACATGTAACTGATTGTTTCTACTATAGTTTCTCTGCATGTGGTAAGACCGAAGTCACCGAAACCTGTTTCAACGATATCGCAAAGTACATTGTATTGCAACTGCATTGAAAAGATGACTTTTAATGGGAAAATGAGCAGATCTATTCCCCATCAAGACTTGTTCCTTGATTTATAACCATTTCAAATGTATTTTTAATGTAATTTAATGTATTCCTCATTGGAAGTGCTATTACAATACGCAACAAAATAATAGTGATGCTTCTATGTTTAAAGGGAATAAAATCATATACAAATGTTTACTACAGATTTCTACCTTTAAAGTCTGATTATTCTATATATTTACAGTCTTCCTTTGTTGTTATCAGATATAAAAGAAAGTCATCAGACTGAATCAAAAGGGTGAAAAATGACAATCAATAATGCTATATTGATGTAAGAAAAAAACAAAACACAACTGCAAATCATAAAATTAATGATGGTACTTTAATTCAAATTATTTTATTTTGCATATCATTCAAAACATGTACAATATCATAAAGAGATAACTGTAACGATAATACTTTAAGAAACTACATGAACTTAGTACTAACGTGTCACATTGGCTGTTTTCATATGATAACCGTCGTATGAACACATCTGTCATGTTTCAAAATTTAAATGTTGCCATTTCACATTAAATATTGAATATTGTTCACTAGAGGATGTTGACGGTTGCTTGCATTTCCCAGTTCCGTATATGAACAGGCTCAATCAAACCGAGTCTGCAACATTTTCAATGTTGCCGCTTTCAGCAAGGTTCAGCTTTGAAATAAATATCTTATTCCTTTTTTATCTTTTATTTTTATTTTAAACGCAAAACTCAGGTTTTAGGTGCAATTAAGGGAGTTAAAAACGTAGCCCGCACATCTTTTACAGCAGTGTTCTGTCGAATTTATTTGTTCCTAGGGGTAAATTTATTCCGAGACGAAATTCAATAGAGTAAGGGAGTATGTCACGGTTCAGAAATGTTCATTACTTAGGGGAGCAGATGTGTAAGCGGACGGTTAGCTCAGTCGGTAGAGCTGCGAAACAGTATTCCGAGGGTCCCGGGTTAGAGTCCCGGTCAGACTGCACTTTTTTTCCATGTGACACTGAGATGTTCCTTTTTTCATGAACAATTAAACATTCTTTTCGTAACCGACTCTGGCATATTTTCTATTCATTTGAGTTTCATTTCTCTCAACGGATTACCCCTAACACAGGTTGTTGAGGTAATGATGATAACGCCAAGAAAGCGATGTGATGTTTAGTAAGTAAAAGGTAAATAAACGGTAAATATTATCTCGACTTGTTTTATCTTTCCATGGCTAAAACTGATTTTTTCAGAAGAAAACAAACATGTTTTTGATTAGTAACATAGAATAATAAGTTTTTATATGCATTGATACTCGAAGTCAATTTAAAAACTACCACATGTTTCATCCTTGTTTGAGGCCCTGGTTTGTATTAAAGAAAAGGAACTTTACAAGTTACAAAACACTTCCTGGTCGCAATAAAGTCGGTCATAAATCTGCATTGAATTCTAGCAATAAAACAATACAGGCATTTACTTTTCCTTTTTAGAGTCCGACAATAATTTCATTTTGATTAGAACTATTTTTTTAAAAAAAGAACTTTAAGATAAACTGAAGCCAATTTTCCTGAAAAGCATTCAATAACGATCCATTAAAAAGAGAATAATGTTGCGACTTTTCCCATCTATTTGTGTAACATCTAAGCTTTAGCTAGCGTCTCTAGGTAATAAAAACAATCGTAAAAACCGCGCAATAAATTACTGTTGACAATAAAATCCCATTAACGAAGGTCGTGAATAACATTTTACTTCATTTTTGTAGCTCTGTGAAAATTAATAGAATTTTCCTGGAATGAACTCTAGCAAGAGCATTTGAGGGGAACGAAGCATGGTCTTAAAATCAGGATACGAAACAAGACCTTAAATATGGAGAACAAAACAAGACTATCAATTTGCTAAACGACACACGTCCTTAAATTTGGGAAGGAACTTAACAAGACCTGAGATCCGTTGAACAAAGCCAGGCCTTAATTTCGTGGAAAGAAACTAGACTAAAATCCGAGAAGAACAAAACAAAGCCTTAAATTACGGACACGAAACAAGGCTCTAGATTCGGGGAACGAAACAAGGCTCTAGATTCGGGGAAACAAGGCCCCTTTTCGGAGAAGAAAGATACAATGCTTTAAATTCGGAGAATTATATGCCTTGATATATTTATATGATTATTTAAAAAGTTTTATTTCTCAAAATGAGGATTATATTACTTTAAAAAGGGTATACTCGATACTGTTATATTGGCCTTTTTTTTCTTTTTTGCAAAATGCCAGGCTCTAACAATATTTACAAAGGATATCCTAATGCATATTTATATTGTTTGATAAGATTATTTGAATAGTCTATCTTTGTGTAATCGGTCAATAATCGTCTATTTTTATCCAAATTACTGTTTGATTTAATTTTTTGTATTGAAACTTTGTTAAAAAGGGTAGTTGAGTTTGCGAAAATTCCGGATTTGCAAACTTATTCCGGAGGCTGTTATACACAAATAATTATATAATCCAGGACACTATAAGCTCATTAAATAAAGGTATGAAAAACTAAACATATCAGTTTTTATCAGTCTTAATTTAAAAAGGCGTATTTTGAAACAAGTAAGCAGTATGTCGATTGTAAATATATAAAGTTAAAAAAAAATGTCTGTAAAATTCATACAAAGCTTTATGTTTTAAAAACCTCCAACGTACGAATAATTTTAAAATAATTCTCGTTTTGTCGGTCAGAAGCAAAAGTTATTTCGTAGTTATTTTGCCTAATACTATTCTAAAATAATCCATATGTTTTTTATATATCTGTGGTATACAGGATTCATAGCCTCTAATACCCGTCCATCATTAAATTATTTTTTCGTACTGCCCATTTTTCATTGAATAACACAGAAGTGTGTAACATTGAATGTTTCATGATAACTGCCATATGAACTTACCTGCGGATGTTCCTCACACCAAGCCTCATTTCTGGGTTAAAAAAAAATATGCTGAAGTTTATGCTAGACATCAATAGTTGCTGCTTTAAGCGTTCACACTAAACGTTTAAATGTGAAGACATTTTTATCATTCTATTTTCAGTGTGACATGGCTGTAGCAACAAAGTTTTTCTTCGACATGGTAGACAGTAACAATACGATGGTGATGGTATTTGGTGATGCCTGTTCCTCAGTGTCAGGACCTATAGCTGAAATATCAAAGGAGTGGAATGTGTGGCTGGTAAGTCATTTTTTTATTTTCAGACAATTTGGAAGTGAACTCCTTGGGAGAGACCTATATAAATAAAATATAACTTTTCAATTATTATTCCAAATATTGCTCAGGAAATGTATCTTAAAACAGCGAAAACTTCTATGTTACCCTAAAGTTTGAATAAAGTGAAATATCACATCTATGCAGAGTCACGTCTTTGATTATGCAATTTCCGGGTTTAAAATTTCCTGTTTGTTTGATCAGTGCTTAAACGAAAATTCCTCCAATAAGTTTGATAATGCCATGGTAATTTTAGAACCGTTTCGCGAAAGAATATTTGTTCCGTTTTTAATTCCGTCAGAAGTCGTGCCAATTAACAATTTTCGATTCCAACAAGCGTGTTTACTGTAATTGAAATTTTGAAATTAGAGAGCATGTAGATTACAGTCTACCTAAATCGTGTGTTAAATTAAAGACCAAAATAAATATATTTCGTTCTCGTGAGTTGGATTCAGAAAATTAATTACATAATTTTCGTAAAATTTTCACAAGATTTTCAAAAAGAAAACAATGATTTAAACATAATATTTTCAAACATAATTGCAATATGACAAAGACACACGAAAGATGTAAACAAATATGGTAAATCATTCCAATTTAAATATATAATTAATATATAATATTTTACTTTTTTCTATATTATGAAGAAAAATGAGAATTATATTTCTATTTAGACGACAATAGCATAAGATTCTTTATGATTTTATTATTTTATATAATTATGTTTCTTTTTTTCTTTTTTGTATCATCAACAAGTTTAATTTGGCGATGTATTTATATTATAATCATATTTTGTTTAGGAAAATAACAAAATAATAGTTTCATTCAACAACTTCCGTCTTAATTTCTAAAGATCTTGATTAATTAGATTTTGGACCTATAGATTCAGATTCAGAGTCATTACTTCGGGGCATTTTTTTTTGCTATTTTTTGGGAATTTTTTTTAATTAGGGCCTATTTAAATTTAGCGTAAAAAAAAACCCGTTTTAGCTTTACCCTTTTATACCTTAGGATTTTTTGGCAAAAAATATAATCGGGGTTTTTAAAACGGTAAAAATTTTAAAGATTTAACTTTGCCCCTTAAATTCTTATTTTGTTCCAGATTACTATACATATCTGATATTGCCTGACAAATAAGACGACAACTTCCCATTAAACTTTTGATATCACTACCGGGAATTGTTTTAGGGTCAGCTGAACTGAGCATCTATACTTTATTTATCGATGCTTCTCATGATACGAAACTATTTCCAAAAAGCTAATGCCGAGAAGACAAATTAAAAATTTTTAAAGGGAAAAATCATTTCGGTTTCTAAACACAATCAATAAAATCGCCGCGGGGGGTTTTTTAAAGACCATGTCGCTGACAGGTTTTCCTCAAATCCACAATTTTAACCTTCTCATTTGGTGCCAAAACTTTCTTTTTAAAGGCCCTCTTTGGGTTGTCTTCAAAATTGTTGTGCTTGTACTTTGAATAAAATTTTTCAAAGGGCATAACACTTAAAACATTGTAATTTTGTTTTTTAAAGGCGATTCCAATCAAAATAAGGGGCCCCAAAATGTTCAAATCAGGTGGATTTTTTTTGGGTCTATTTTTTTAAACTTTAAAGTATTTTTGATTTTAAACTGCCTTTTTTCCGGAAAATATTTGAACTTTATAAGTTTTTTCCAATTAAGCTTAAAATAATGTAATTTATTTTTGGATAATTTTTTACTGTAATAGGGGAAGAAAAACCCACCCAAAATTTTTATTTTGTTTTAAAATTTTTTCTGCCTTTTCCTAAATTTTTTCTTATTTTCCAAATTTTAAAATTTTATCCTTATAAATTAAAAATTTAAAGGCAAAAGTCATGAATTTGTATCCCAAGCATTAAAAGGCCGCGGGGGATGAATTTTTTTTGAAAAAGGATTAAAACAACATTTTTTCGGAAAATTTTTTTAAAAAAGATACAAAACTGCGCGATAGGGTTCTTTCCTGCATGTAAAAGTAAACCCCTGAACTTTCGTTTTCATTCTGCCCAACAAAAAAAAAAGAAGTTTCCCCCGGGTGGTTTTGGGGTCAATTTTTTTTGTTTAAAATTTTCTTCTCATTTTTTTTAAACTTTTCCCCATAAACCATTCTTAAAATAAAAAATTTTAATGTCTTTTTAAATTTTGTATTAAATAAACATCCCACAAAAACTTTTGGTATTTATATAAAATAGGTAAAAAAATACTTTATACTTTGTTCTTAAATAAGCAGCACATTAATATTATCATAGTTTTCATAACAAATATGTTCTCGTGAAACGATTTATTTTCTCATTTTTTCTGAATGAAATAGATGCTAAACCTTTCACTATTCCTTGCATATTTAACCTGGCGAAATCTTCTAACAGATTATATTTTTCGTACCAGCATTTTCATTTTATGTTGTTTTCATTTTAGAATGTTTTATTGTCATAATTGTATGATATTGACTTACTGGAATAACAATTTTGTGGCTTTTTTACCAACTGTGCGATCATTTTTTACGGAAAGAAAGATTCCGTTCAGAGAACAATACTCTAAACACGTTTTTAACGTTGAAAACCTGAATCCATAAATTGTTTGTGACAGGCATAGAGGCAATCAACAGTCAGTTGATGGGATGTAACTAATGACCATGTTTCGTGACAAGCTGATCACTTTTAGATGTGTTTTTTATTTCTCATTACTACAAAAGTTGCTCATTTCTTTCTTCTATTACAATCTTGTCCTCACCATTTATTAAGATACGGCCTTTGCTAGCTAGTGGCAGGAATAATGATTAGGTGGCATTTGTTTCTGCTGTAAACATTTTATTTTTAAAGATCCTGTACCTCAACTTTTTATAGTTTTATATCATATATACGATATGCAAATGAAAATTAATCGATTATGTAAGTTTCAAAAAGCATTATTTGTAAAGATATTACCGAATTTACATTTCATGTAAATAAAAAGAGGTAATAAGAAATTTATTTCCGATTAAGTCTAAGCCAAATTTTTCAATAAGAAATGAATGCATATATTATAAATATTACTTATAATGCGTGTAAACATTTACAGTAATACGTAACATGGATGTTTGGAAATTGTTTTAGACGAATTATTATATGCATATATAAAATTAAAGTGTTGTTACATCCTTAATTACAACATACAAAATCTTTAACAGTTTTTAATATTTCTTTATAAAGGGAAATTAATTGCATATTTCGTGTATCCTTTTATCTGCTTGTGTTATTTTTTCGAGGGAGTGTAATAACATTTTAATAGGTACCTTTCGGCTAACCTTACTGTCAGATTTTTTTATTTCTGCTGTTATTGTTATAAGCTTAATGTCATGAACGAAATCATTATAACTATACCAAGATAAACAAGTTAATTTGTAAATTTTATCGTTCAATATTCAGTTTAATATCTCATTAATTTTCATTTGGTTATAATCAAAACAGTAAGTAACAAATTAAATCAACGTAATTGAAAGTTATTACTGCAAATACAAGATGTGTATACCAAGTTTATCTTTACAATAAAAGACGTTCTCTTTTGTTCACCAATTCTTTTATTTAGTGTGTTTGTAATGAAATTGTGTGAAAAAACAAATGGCATTTCCTTCGAAAATATTCAACAAAACTTCTCTCAATACAGGAAACAATTTTCAAGATATGACAAAAGATATTGATTTATTTAATTTTTTAAACGTCACACTATGCTAATCAATTTTTCCAACTGGTTTTATGTCGGATATTAGATGACATGTATCAGAAAGAACATCAATAATGTTTTATGATCATAAAGTTTCATGAAACAATAAGGTAATTTGTGATTTTTTGGGTCCTATTGAGAAAATAACAGAAAGATAAAGTTCACATCGTTCTTTCCCGGAATATATTCAATTAGTTCCAAGAAGAAGTAATCAATTGTACAAATGACAAATTTATTCAGTAGCTCCTTGACAAGTTCTTCAAATAAATCGTATTGTCACTGACAAGTTTTAGACTTATTAATAATTCTAACATTTAATAAGTGACACTCGAGACACTGTTCCATCTCTGAAAATCAATAATGTTCATGTAGGAGGTCAATATGTTAGGCTAAAGATAAAAGTCCCTGAATGAAGAAAAAAGAAGTTTATGATTTCGTCAATTCATTCATGTTTCTCCTGTATTACAGCTGTAAACTTTGTTTTTTTATACTAAATACCAAAACAATCTACAAGCTTTTGTTTAAATACCTAGCTAACTATTTCAGATATAAAACGATGATAGTGTTTAAGAGATGTGAAGTGAACAAAAATTTTACTTTCTTTGTCAGAAAATCGAAACATATTAACGTAAGGACGTAGCTAAAGTACCATAATTAGTGCCTTATGAACACATCTGAGAATATTCCTAACTTCAAGTTTTAACCGTTATACTGTATTGATATTTGTTTCTACTTAAGCCGACAAAAAGGGGATGTAGACGGTAGCTTGCACCAAACACAAACGACCATGGGAAGACTAAAGGCAAACTTGCACCAGTTTGATTGTTGCGGTGAGAAGCCTTTTTGAGCAATTTAATTTCTGTATTAAATAAAATGATAAAAAGGCTAACAAATTATGTATATGAAATAATTATTTTTTACGCTTGCTAAATAAAATTTGAATGTAGGTGTATAAAGTGTCAAAATACATGTATAACCTAACATTAACATGAAAATAATGCACAAGCAACAGAACATACATTTATAAAAACAAAATACAAAACAACGTAGTAAAAAAATTCGTATTTCCTAGTTGGTTATTTTGTGTTGCCTCCGAATAACATATTATTCTCAAAGCATTTCGTTTTGTAAGTGCATTAGTTATATACGCCCAATGGAATCATTATCACACTATTAAGGTTTCTTGGGAATAACGCAACATCATGTCCAAAGGTTTCTTCACTCAGTGGAATAAAATGACACTCTGAAAGCGCCGG